TCCTTCAGCTCCAGTCTCTTCCAAAAGTTGCATTTTCTGCTGTTCGTGCTTCGTCCCAAGTTTGGCATCAACGATTAGGACATCCACATTTTCAACTTTTACAATCTATGCTATCTAGCTACAATTTACCTTTATCAAATAAATGTTCTCCTTTTGTTTGTGACTCGTGTTTAGTTGGCAAATCATCTAAATTGCATTTATCATCTTCTTCCTACAAGAGTTCTCATATTTTAGATCTTGTGTTTTGTGATGTGTGGGGACCCGCACCGGTTACTTCTAGTGATGGTCATACTTATTTCCTTCTTTGTGTTGATCACTACTCGAGTTTTATGTGGTTTTTTCCCTTAAAGCTAAAGTCTGATGTGTTTCCTACCTTTAAACGTTTTTTAGCCATGGTTGAACGCCAATTCAACACTAAATTAAAATCCGTCCAAACTGATTGGGGTGGAGAGTTTCGACATCTCTCTCAAATTTTCTCCCCTCTTGGCATCATTCATCGATTATCATGTCCACAGACAAGTGAACAAAATGGTTTTGTTGAACTACGACACCGACATATTTTCGAAACCGGCCTAACCTTACTCACCCAAGCTAGTGTTCCGCAACATTTCTGGCATTTTGCTTTCGAAACAGCTGTGTATCTTATAAATTGAATGCCCTCACGCACTACTCAAAACACTTCACCTTTTGAATACCTCTTCCATCACAAACCGGACTTCTCTTTCCTACGTGTTTTTGGCTGTCAATGCTACCCTCATCTCCGTCCCTACAACAAACATAAAATGGATTTTCGATCCACTCCATGCATCTTTTTGGGCTACAGCCCCTCCCATCATGGCTATCGATGCCTTGATCCATCATCAGAACGCATATATATTGTCCGCCATGTCCGGTTTAATGAGACCTCATTCCCTTTTTCTGCTTCCTTAGCTCATGGTCCGCACATAAGCGACCACCAAACAAACCCTAATCCATATATCTCCTCTTATCCCAATCCTACAACACCTGAACCACCTCAACCACCTCCCACTGCCACTATTCCCACATCTTCCTCCACACATCAACCTCCTCTAGTCCACACATATCAAAGTAACACCTTCCCACGTCCACAAGCTACCACCACCGCTACCGAACCATCACCTGAATCCATTATCCTTGAACATCAGCCAGCTGTTGATCCAACTCTGCCCTCACCTCCGAGTCAGCTGGCTTCCACTCATACTCTCGAGACCGATTCTCCACAACCTTCGGCTCCTTCATCCCAACATCCTGCTCCCACCTCTGATCTTCCGTGTTCACGGCCCTCTAATCTTCGTCCAAACCCCAAAAAAACAAAGCCTTTTTGTTTTCATACTACTCCTGATTACTCTCAAACCGAACCACCCACCTTTACCATTGCTAATGCACACCCACAATGGCGCTCAGCTATGTCCGATGAATACTCTTCTTTAATGCGAAATGGTACTTGGTCCCTAGTACCCCGTACAACGAATATTAATGTTGTTGATTGTAAATGGGTATACAAATTAAAGAAAGATCAAACCGGTGCCATCACACGCTACAAAGCACGGCTTGTTGCAAAGGGTTTTAAACAACCGGGGGTCGATTATCATGAGACATTCAGCCCTGTTGTAAAAGCTACCACTATTCGCGTTGTTCTCTCACTTGCAGTTTCACAAAAATGGCCCTTACGACAGCTTGATGTACAAAATGCCTTTTTACATGGCGATTTAAAAGAGACAGTTTATTTACGGCAGCCAGAAGGCTTCGTTGACCCCAACAAACCCAACCATGTTTGCCTTCTCCACAATCCTTATACGGACTCAAACAGGCTCCACGAGCCTGGTTTCATAGGCTGTCCACTGCTTTATTAGCTCTTGGTTTTAGGGGGTCCCGCACCGATCCCTCCTTATTTGTTTATTCTTCTCAAACGGTTCTAATGTATATGTTGGTGTACGTTGATGATATTATTCTCACAGGTAACAATTCCCAAGCAATCGATCAGGTTGTACACAACTTAAGCAAATCCTTTGCCATACAAGATATGGGTGTTTTGTCATACTTTCTAGGTGTCGAAGTACACTATCAACCGGATTCAATTATTTTATCTCAACGCAAGTACATCCTTGAATTGCTACAACGGGCTGGTCTCTCTGCTGCTAAGCCGGTCTCTTCACCTATGACAACCACTGTTAACTTAGCAATTGGTGACAGTGTTGCTTTTGATAATCCGGTTCGGTATCGCCAAATTGTTGGTGCTCTCCGGTATGTCACTCTTTCGAGACCTGACATCACATTTGCGGTAAACAAAGTTTGTCAATTTATGCATTCCCCTACAAATAATCATTGGTCTGCTGTCAAACGCATACTCCGTTATTTACAAGGCATTGCATCTTATGGATTGAAACTACAACACCACTCCGCTTTCCAGCTTCATGCTTACACTGATTCCACTGGTCCGTTCCTCACAGCCTACTCTGACGCAGATTGGGCTAGTTGTCCAGATGACCGTCGATCCACCGGGGGCTATGCAATCTATCTTGGCTCCAACCTTGTTTCCTGGTCTGCTCGCAAACAACGCACTGTCTCTCGGTCATCAACATAATCTGAATACAAGGCACTCGCAGATACGGTGGCTGAGCTTACATGGCTTCAAGCTCTCTTGGGAGAACTCTATGTTCCTCTCAAGACTGTTCCTATATTGTGGTGTGATAACTTAGGTGCTACTTATCTTTCAGCCAATCCTGTATTTCATGCACGTACTAAACATGTTGAAGTAGATTTCCACTTTGTTCGAGAAAAGGTAGCTCAAAGAAATCTATCGGTTAAGTATGTTCACACAAATGATCAGATTGCTGACATCTTCACAAAACCTTTGTCTTCACAACGGTTTCTACAGTTACGGTCCAAGCTGCGACTTGCTCCCCGGCCTTAGCTTGCGGGGGAATATTAGATGATAGATAATATTATAGGGACTAAAGTGTAACTGTATCTATTATATATATATATATATATATATATATATATATATATATATATATATATATATATATATATCATGTACACGTTACATACAATTACCAAGTTTATCTCTCCTTGTCTTACTCCTTTCTCTAATTTGAATTCATCCGTTGGGCAGCCATTCACTAAAACCAATGCACGAGCTAATTCTAAGCATCCATTTATCCATATTCTCCATTTTACCCGAAAATTCATTTGTTGCATCATCGAGTCTAGGAATCTCCAATTCACTGAGTCAAAAGCCTTATTGAAGTCGGCTTTGAAGAGAAGTATTTTTTTGTTGATTTTCTTTCCCCACGAACAAATCTCATTAACAATTAGGGGTCCTTCCAAGATGTTTCTTCCTTCCACAAAAGTCGTTTGTACTTCATCGATGCACTCCCCCATTACCACACGGATTCTTGATGCTAGTAATTTTGCAATTATTTTGTATAAGGCTCCGATTAGGCTGATTGGCCTATAGTCCCCCGAGGAGATAGGATCCTTAACCTTTGTTGCGAGAGTTATAAAAGAGGAATTACAACCTGGAGAAAAGCTACCCCAAAGTTCAAAATGTTTTACATAAGCTAGGGTATCCATCTTTAATTCATTCCAATATCGTTTCAGAAATTTGAATGTGAAGCCATCAGGCCCCGGGGACTTGTCATCCCCACAACTCCACACTGCCCTTTTCACCTCATCAATCGAGATATCACCTTCCAAAAAGTCTTTGCTAGCTGTTCAGATGGACTTGAATTTTGAACTCCTGAAATCTGGTCCGATCTTCCATTTTTCTTTAAACTTTGAAGACAAAAATCTGAAGATCTCAACTTTCATCTCATCCAGCTGATTTGACCAAACACCATTAATCATGAGACCACTCATATGGTTTTTTCTGATGCGATTTTTAACAAAGCCGTGGAAGAACCGAGAATTTTCATCACCATCGATCAACCACTTTATTCTCGCTTTCTGTTTGATGTCAAGAGTCACCCGTTTTTCTAATTCAGTGAGTCTATTTGAAATCTTAGCCCATTCAGCTTTTTCAGATCCATTTAAATCGTTTCTTTCAGCCTTCTTATCAAGATCCACCATTCGATTTTTGATTGTTTCAATCTCCACTTGTTTCTGAGAGAGATTTACTGCCTTCCAACTTCTTATCCTATTTTTTATGAACTTTAATTTGTTTAGTAAAAATGAATCTGCAACCCCATACCCCTTGAAATCTGAGCTCGCTTTAATGACAACCTCATTGAAACCCGGTCTAAAGAGCCACGAATTGAACATCTTGAAAGGCACAGGTCCAAAATCCATGGAACTAAGTTCAAGCATAATAGGGCAGTGATCAGACTGTTCTCTAGGTAAGGCTATTCATGAAGCTTGAGGGAAGTTGCTAAGAAACTTATGACATACAAGAATTCTATCAAGTTTACTTAACTTTGCACCAGCCTGTTGGAAGTAAGTGTACTTGAATCCCTCCATTTTTAAGTCAAATAATCCCCCTCCGGTGATAAATCTATTAAAATCTTGTGCTGTGTAAGGGCAGAAGATAGAGTTTAATCTTTCATCTCTTCTTCTCACAACATTGAAGTCGCCCATGAGAATCCACATCACATCACGTGACTTTATCAAGTTGGATAGCTCTAACCACAGCTTTCTCTTATCCGTTAAAGATTGAGGAGCATATACATTGACAATAGCAAATTCAATTCCAGAACCACAACAATGCCCATATATCACCAGAAAAATGCCTATCTTTGATTGATTCACACACCGAAAAATATGATCGGTCCCAAATAGTAAGAATGTCGCCCGACCTACCAGTTGCTTCAATGTCTTCAAAACCAAAATTGTCATCTCCCCATCTGTTTCTAACTATTGTTTCATATTTCTTGAATGCACATAAGGGTAACTTTATTGTTCTGCCTTAGTCTCCGAATCCAGTCAATTTTGGTTGTTTCCCAATTCCCCCATCCCCCTAATGTTGATTGATAGAAGATTCATTGCGCACCGATCTGATCACCAAGATCTCCCATTACATCTGCTAGTATCTCACAACCATCCCTGATGTCAAATCCAAGAAGTCTTCCCACCTCAGCCGTTTTTTCCATCTTAGAATTTCTTGGTATTGTCGTCGGGGCAATTTCATATGGGGGGTCCGGAGCGGTGTTTAGGGATCCGTTTGGATCTCGGTTAAGATCCAGATGTGCAGGAAGACTTGGAGAAGGACGTACAGGCACAGGAATTGACTGGTCAGTATTAGTGTGGGTTTTATTTGTAGCTTGTCGGATCTTTCTTCTTTTTAAAAATGACCCGTTTAGGTCCATTTCTAAATCCACCGGGTTACTGGGCTCAGTTCTGACTCCAGGTCCATTGTTTGGGAACGGCCCAAACATTCCTTTAGGAATTAAGTCTCGAATGCACCTGGACGATGCTTGTGGGGACCCAGATTCACCTACGTCCTCTACATTGTTGACCTCCATCATATCTTCCAAGTTCCTAGGAGATTCAATTGGGGTGAATTCGGATGGATGGATTCCAGCGGAATTTGAAGGGGCGACTATTGCGCTTCCTGCCGGAGTTTCATCGGAGACATCAACATGGAGGTTTCTTCTGATTTCTGCACCAGGTCTCATAACAAATTCAGCGTCTGGTCCAATCTCTCCATCCTCCAACTCATCATCCGGATCGAATAAAGTATCAGAGACACCGTCTTCCTCATCTTCCTCCTCAGATTCCATCATTGAATTAGAGAACGGCTTCCAATCATCATCTACCTCGAAGATCCCCACTTTGAACACCTGATTATCTCCAACCACAGTAACTTCTTCATTGATTCTACTTAATGACTCCGTTAAGATACATAATTTCATATGCGATACATCCGATGTATTCATACTAATCTCAATTGAACTGGATAATACCCCAAGCTTCGAAATAATTTCCCTGAAGTTTTCTTCGTCCCAAAAGTGCAGGGGGAGACCAACAATTTTAACCCAGGCAATCCGATCATTCTTGATTTCAACTCTATCACCTTTCTCAATCCACTTGATCCATAACTTCCAATCATCCGAGGATTCCATAAATCGTTCAACATCAGTCGGGTTCCTGAATCTCATGCCAATCTTTAATCCCCCCAAGTATTTAGTATTATATTTTTCATCGTCTCCAACCAATAATGACATCGGCAGACTTGTTAGATGTTCAAAGCTTATAGTTTCACCTACTATAGTTAATTCACTTTTAAGCCAATGCTCCATGAACGTACCTGTATGTAATCGTAATGGAGGAGTGATAAGCGGGGGAGGAGGAGGGGGTGGTGGGGGATTGGATTTTTGCACCGCCTTATTATTCTTCCGGGCAGCCACCTCCGCATAAGATCTACCATCTCTACATGCTGATGATCCTCCATTAGTTTAAATCGGAAATCTCCTCTGGTATTGTGTCTCTTTAGAGTTCTTATGTTGTCTCTCCATCCTCTCATACTTGGCGATGTTCACTTCCAGTCTATACCCCTTGCATGTAATTCCTTGAATGTTGGCTTCCAGTTTCAAAACGTCCCTTACTCCTGAGTACCTGACAAAAGCAAAACATCTTCTCTTTAAGTCTTTTTTCTTAGCCAGGTAGATGTCATTGATCTTCCCAAACTTCTCAAAAGGTCTTCTCAGTTCCTCCGGCCTTAATCCCTCGGGAAGGTTGGTCACGAACATGGTTGTAGTTGGAGCATCTTCGTCCGACTTCTTGCATCTCCGGTTTACTTCCGACCATCCGTCTCCCATTTTAGCGCTTTTGCCTTTCAAACGTGTCAAGGAAAAAGAATTATCATATTAGTTTATTGTACTATATTTCTATTCTGAGTAGTTGGCTCACTAGAAATAGCTCAATTACAACCTCAACCTTTTCATATTGCATCATTATTAGAAAAAATTAATTATTTAGCAAATATTAAAACCTCGTAAGAAAAAAAAACAAACCCAAAGATATCGTATTTAACCAGAAATTCAATAATTTGGATAAAACTATTTGTGATGCTAGGCAGTGAGCTCATAATCAACACATTTGGTAGTTCTGATTCCTTTATGTTTTCAACCTATTCAAAAATCCCATTCGTAACACTGTAAATGCAAATAGACAAACCATATCAATTGACAAATACATTCTAAAAAAGCCAATAGTATTTCACTTACGCTATTTCACTTTCCCATCCTATGAAACAAGAAAATTTTGAATATTTTTTCATGAAGCATACCAACCTTCAATAACGCAAAAATATATAAGTCTCTACATTTAAAAGCTTTTGCAGTTCTTCTCATTTCCACTAGCATCTTTTGCCATGTCTGTGCCTATGGAAGTTACAAAATCATTATTTACATGTAAAAAAAATATATTTTTTCATCGATTTAAAAAAAAAAAGTTAGTGATGAATTTTGATACGAAGTTAAAATCGAGATCACTCAATTAAGATTCAAGTTAAATAAGCCCAACATGGCATCAGTAGAAGGTTCATTTCTAAGTTATATGCCTTGTTTGAAATTTTTGTTAGGATTTTATGTTCTTTATTGAATTTAGATATTGAAATGTATGTTATTAGCTTTTAGGCTGAGTTTTAAAATAATAAATATATATACAAATAAGTGAATTTCATTCATTTTTTTTTAAAATGTTACAACTTAATGTGTTCCAATCATGAATCAAAAGCATCTTCACTATCAAAATATAATAGGACTACGACCACAAGAGTCAAAAACAAACAAATACATTTCCAAAAAATTGCTCTGGAGGTGAATAGTCACTGATGAATAAAAATTTCTGATCAAAGATTAAAAAAAAAAAAAACAACCTTTGTACATGATAGGATATGAAGAAACGCCGATTGCCATTTGAATTTGAGAAATCATCTCCTGTTGGAAATGGTAAATTAAAAAATTTAAGAAATAATGACTCGACACAAATGAAGCATGTCTGTAATAACATGCTTTACAACCAATCCACTGCATCAAAAAGTATTTGCAAACCTATTTAAAAAGTTAACAGATCAAATGAAAAGTTGTTGACTGTCCAAAAGATTCTAATAAATATATGTTAATGAGAATATAAGTTAATTGAACAGGTTTATGAAACTAAAGAAACATACAGTGTCATTGTTAGTTGATTCATTGTGGTTGTACTCTTTTCCTTTTGTTTGAATAAACTTTTTTTTTTCAACATCTCTTGATCTCATTCCTCCATTCTTTCCAAGATTCCACAAGAAAAAATTAGTTATACTCTACATCTAATCACTTGAAATAAAAAGTTGTTATGTTTTGTTGAAATTATAGTAACCGCAACTTGAAAGTTTTTATCATTCTAAGAAAAATAAAATAAAATTAAACCTATACACATCGCAGGAAAAAATAGTTAATTGAAACCTAAATCCAAATTGGTTTTACTTGGAAATGAGAAAACAATACTGACTGTCAAAACCAAAATAAACACAAACAATAGATGAATTTTCAAAATCAAGAAACAGAGAGAGACATGGACCGTATTAGCAAATAAGAAGAGAAAATACGGATGAAGTCATGAACATTCATCAGAAAAATCAAAAACCTATCTCCAAAATTGATTGTACTTCAAACCCCAAAAACATAGAGAATCAACAAACAATGCAAATGCAAAGACATATGTAGAAAATGTATGTGATAATCGAGAGAAGGAACACCCACCCTCTTAAACAAAGATGCATAATCTGGAAATATAATTTCAGTAGATCAAATAATCAACAAAATTTAAAGCTAGGGGTTTCCATGTTATCGTTTTGATTGCACCTGAACAAATGACACAGATCATTAATCTATCACAATAATAAACTTGCAAATAAAAGATTCTAAAAGGGGTATTCCAAAAATCACACAACCACATAGCACCAAACACCTAGTAATGAATTCTAGAAGAAAAAAAGGGAACCATTGAAGTTGTATATATAATCCCATAAAGCTTTACTTTAAAAGTTGAATAAGAAAAAAGATAATGTGTTTGAACAGAACTCTAACAAACCGTATATTTATACTTCAAAATCTAAGTATTGGAACCCAAATATCAATAGAACCCAAATATCAGTATCATCAGAAGGATAGGAATTATTGCATACAGAAGTCCAAAATCAGTAAGTAATCCACAAGTCCTTATGGATGATTGACTTTTATGAGAATCAAGAAAATCGGATATAAAAATTAATGAAATTTTCTCCTAAAGATAATGGTGATCAAGTTTATCTTCACACGAGGTAAATAATTATCAGCGCAGAGTTCCTCCTCCATAGAATATATAAAAAAAAAATTAGGGTTTATAAGTGTTTGTAGTGTGAAACATCTTCAATGGAGGAACTAATATTGTTATCACTACTTCTAATATAGGCCAACGAATCCCTCATTCTCGTCATCAAACCCAGATGGATGTACTACTTGCATGAGAAAGAAAAGAATTAGATGGAATTCAATCAAAATTTCCTTTTAGCAACATGTTGGGGATGCCTAAACTTCAATTCCAGAAAAAACATGGATTACAACAATGCACCAAATGGTTTGGATAAAAAAAAAAGGTTTCTATAATTTAACCATTGAAATCAATTGCGTCCAAAAATTACCCCTTTGCAATCATCAAATCGTAAAGATTAATAAACCACAAAAACCTAGAAAAATAATGAGATGGTGCAATGAAAGAATTATGAAAAAAAAGTGAGTGTACCGACGATTAATTTCACAAACCCTTTAGTGCTTACAGGTGAAATTACAGAGCATTATTTCGGTGTCTCCAGAAAAAAAAGGGAGATAAATGATTTTTTTGATCGGTATCCATAGAAGTTCGACGAAGGCGGAGATGATGAAGAATCATATGAGGTATCGTTTTTGAGAAAATGAGAAGATAAGAATCATTGGAGATTAGCAGTGGTATTGGTAATCGAACAAAAGCACACACCCACAGATGGGTTTTAGAGTCTTCGCTGATCATTTGCCAAAAATTAGGGATTTGAGGCTTCGGTGTTGTGAGCAAGGAAAGAAAAAAAATATAGGGCTTTGTGGCGTGTCTCGAGAAAAGCACTCCATCATACATCGGTTGATGAATGGAGACGTTTGTTGGCGGAAGAGACGCAATGGATTCAGAGGAACATGTCGCCTCTTAGAAGATCATCACACGCGCCCTACGCGCTCTTATAAAAAAGATTTTTATATATAGTAATGATATATATATATACACACATAAACACAGAGAGAGATATGGAAAGTATAACATATGTATGAGTTTTAATTAATTATCTTTTTGAAACGGTACAGTTATAAAAAAAATACATATTTAAAATATTTAATTAAATATTTTCGACATCATCCTATATAATATATGATCAATATATTAACGATTAAACAACAATATACAACGACTGTATTACAATAATCCAAAAAAGAAAAAAAATATAAAAACGAATTAATATAACAAAGTTACAAATTAAAAGCTTTAGTATAATAACATATCTCCAAAAGTGTTCATAAGACCTCAACCTAACACAAAAACCTTTAAGTTTGTTTTTTTTTTCTGAAATTTGTATATGATTTGTATGCATGTCTTCCAAAAAACTTGGTCTTTTATAGTAAACTTTTCGCTAAATGCTAATTAAACATAATATAAGTTATAAAACTTTTGAGTGTTAAATCATAATTAAGAAATTTTTTGAGTTGCATTAGTTAAAAAAAAGGGGGTTTCAAATGAATGTTGTTTGAGGAAGTTAAAAAAAGGGTTTCAAATGCATGAGATTCAAGAAAAAAATGCTAACTTTATAAGTTTGTATGATGAACGGTCTTCCACCCCTTCAAATACCACTCTTATGTGGTAAAAAATCATCGTGATCTCCACCCTTCAAACTCTACAACGATTTCAACAGTTCATGTTCTTCCACTTTTTCAAACCTCACAATGGTTGCGTTCTTCAAAAAATCAACATCCTACCATGACCGACACCCCATTCGATGAAAGGTTTTTGGTTTCAACTTCATATTGGTATTGGTTCAATTAGGTTAAGGTTCTTGGTTTGATTAGGTCCAAATTTTTCCATGATCGCAATGGGTTCTTATTCTCTGTCTTTGAAATTGGGACGTCTAAACCTTTTATGGAAGGTCGTGTCTTTAGTTTAGGATTTTGGTTTCGAAGGTTGTTTATATTTGTGCTTTGTTTTTCACCATATGAGTTCCAATGATAAGGGACTGTGATGATGGTGTAAATGGTTTCGAATAAGGGGTGTTCTTCGAGTTTTAGTGTTTTGGTCTGGACATCTCAAGGTTTTTTTTTCAGGGGGGGAGGGGGCGGTTGAGTTTTCCTAGTTTTGGTTCATCGAGTTTTAGGTTAGGGTTTTGGTTTCCAAATGAGTTTGTTTGATTTTTTTTAAAGGTTTTTTGTTTATCGAACTTTTCCATTTTGTTTTGAGTTATAGGTGGTGGTGATGAATGGTGATTGGTGGTGGCTGTGGTAACGGGTATTTGAGTTTCAAATGTAAAGTTTAAAAATCTATTAAAATAAATATGTATTAATCAATAATAAAAGATGAATAGATATTTATAGTTATTAAATAATAATACTAACAATAATAATAATAAAGGAAATTTTCTATAAACTCTTTATATTTTGACATCATACTCAATTACGAGGGTGTTTGGGATAAGATCAAAAGTCTCTATATTATTTTTTATCTCATTAAGTCTTGAATACTAGTTAACTTATTCAATTGTAGACAAATTTTCAGATTAGTCGGT